CTGAAAAACAAAGGTAACAGCAAGTGAAGAAAAAAAATCTGAAATAATAACTGTGGATTAGAGGAATAGATTTTGGAAACAGAAGAAGTTGACATAAGGTGAAGGTGAAGCACAGCTATCACAGGATCGAGTTGCCAAATCTGCCAGCAAACTTTGTCGCTGTGACATTTCTCATTTTTATAGATTTTTTTTTAATATAGTGCTATGTAAACCATAATTGCTCTACTTTCTATGAAAGCATAGGTAACAAAGAAAATCTACATGGCATTTGCTGATTATCATGAAAAGAGTACTTATGATAGCATATGTTATATAAAGGTCTGTAGCATATATCAGTTTAGGGTGACTCCTGCAAGTTTATCATCTGCCAGAGAGGTTCTTCAGTGGGGACTGTAATTCTGTTCTCTGCCTCCTTTCAATTTCTCCTTGCTATGCTTTAGAAGTTCTCTTTTCCTTCTCCTTCCTCAGAAAAGTAGAACTTGTTCTGCTGCTAGAATATGTCTCCCAGACTTCCCTTTTGTAACCAATATTGCCTTCTTTTGGATCTGTGCAGTGGAAGAGCTAAGCACACTTATTCGGTCCTTTCAGTGTGGCAGAGTAATGCCTAGATTTCAGCCAACTAATTTTGCACTTTAACCTGTGATCAACATTTTCAGAAATGAAAGCTGGCAACTATTTCAGTCTTTGGCATAAATAACAAATCTGTAGCTCATCTATTTCAAATACTTTCCCTCTCTCTTTAAAAAAAAATCTTTAAATTCTTGCAGCCATAAAGCTCCAGTCTTCGTAAGTTACATAGAATTGGACAAGTTGCACATCTATATTATTAAAGGATTTGGTCATTTGGAAATTATGGTTTGGTTCAATTAGCTATAATGTGATTTACTTGGTTTTATCTTAGCATGGTTTGTAAATGAATGTTTCTAGCCTGTCATGGTAGGTGAGCTCATCTAATTTTGTTTTGTTTTAATAAATAATGGTTAAATTAGCACAATGTGTGTGTCTACTAGTTTTGTAAGTACAGTTGAGGCTAAAAGATGATGCCTCCGTTTAATAATACTAGTTTTAATAATGATGAGAAAATATTATGCTAGAAACGCATATAAATCTCTTAAAACAAGAGGGGAACAACAATTATCTGCAGCATTTGTCACGTGGTTCAGCGAAAGAGGAACAGTAGCAAGCAGGGCATTTGCAAGATACCAGTGATCTAAAAAGGCCATGTATACATATACATTCGTAATCACAAATAATTCTTGCATTTCAAGTATAACTAACTGCTTGGTTAACTTACAGCACTTTTTGGGAGCTCAATACAAAGAAGAAAATGATATTACCAGATTCCTTATTTTATTTTATACAATGAAGGTAAAGATTCTAGCTGTCAGAGCTGGTAACTGGTTAACTTCAGCATGTAGTATTTGCCAGTGCTGGA